GAGCAACTTTTTGTAGCGCTCAAGATTTAGAGTCGTAATTGCATTATACAATCTTAGACTTTTTCTAATAGTTGTGACGCAAAAGAGAACAACAAGAAAGCACTTAAATCAAAAAAATTTGATTAAGAATTAGAAACTCGTTATACGGTAGTCTTTTCGTACATTATTACAAATAAAGTAAATTTATTTATAAGGTGGAGATGTATTGTAAGCATGGCCAGTGAAGGTTTATATAACGTTTGAAATCTGAAATTTTCTTTCAGCACCTAACAAATGACAAAGATTGTTCAATCTTCGTAATAGATTGTTTGTGCGGCCCTCATGCACAAATTTCCAACTGTTTTCCAAATCCATATATCATTTTAGAAATTTAATGAAATTAGGAGAAGTTCGCCTTGTAAATGTTTCGTCCGAAGCTGTTTGTAAGCTGGAAAAAGTACTTTTGAGGCATTGATATGATTTTTAAAATTTGATAACGAACTGTTAAAATGTACTGGCGCTAAATTTCAGCAGAAAAATTTAAGATATAATTCTTTGGTGGGACGACTGAGACAAGCCGTGCAAAAAGTGGTTCAGCAGATGTATTTTTGAGGAAGATTATGGTTTACCGAACGGAATAACTGTTTTGCCTAATATGAAGGTAATATGATTTCGCCTCTATAATTCCTTCCGGATTTAAGTCCTCACGTTTTAAAATCGCTTCATTTCTCTTTTTCAAATAATACCTAGTTAAAGCCACCATTTTTTTCAGCTTCATGAGCCATTTCAATGATGACCTTATTTCAGCATTAAAAGGAAATTTTGATGTAAGCCGTGCAGAAAGCGAAGAAGTTAAGTTGTGCAGATCACATCATCGCTCCTGTGACGGGTCATTCAAGGTCTGACTAAAAAACTAGAGTTATTTGAAATGCCGATGTAAAGCTGGTTATAAACGAAACCGATATGACAGTTGCGTCCCTCACGGGAAGTGCGAGATCGTAAGACCAGTGTTTTGATTAAGCAGCTTCCCAATTACGCTTGTCCTATAGTTCCACATATTCTAATCGTTACCTAATTCATTCAGGGTTTAATAATTTAGCAGTAAGAGTCGAAATTGTTATAGTTTGCACTCAAACCTAGCTTCCTATATTAAAGGGTGATATAACATCACTCTTTTCTTTTAAATCCCTTTCAGCAAGTGTTTCTGCAAGGCGATAACTCCAAATGAAAATATAAGCATAAAATAAAGTTCTCAATGAAAGAAGTGTTTTTTAAGAATATTCTGACTCAGTGGCAAAACAATTTTCTAGAAAAAACTTGAGTAACGAGGTCGGACTGTGCGTGGATTTCCAGCTTTGCTTAGTGTTTGTAGCCTAGGAGGAGCACATAGGAATGCCAGTAACGATAATGTAGCTCTATCAGCTATCTTACATTCTTACCCTTCAATTAGGCTTTAGCATAACCTACTATCTTTTCTGAGTAGCTGCTTATATCAGGACAGGGTGCTCGCATTATAAGTACTCTAACAGAAGCCTTGATCATTTTGCTACAATCGCTTCAGGGTATTTAGAGAAGAGGTTTTTAACATCAGATAAAGTGAGGTGATACTAAATGTAATTCCATTCTTGGCAGTATTTGGTGAGAATGCTACAAAGTGTAGCAGCATTCAGGCAATAAAAAAAATTTTTTTTGGCTTTGAAAAATGCTTAAAATAGATGCTGTAAATCGAAAGAATAGTTATTCTGTAGGACTTCATATTTTCTACCTTAAATTACGTGTTTACTTTTTTCATTGGATTAGAGGTGAGTCCTGAGCTTAGTTAAGGATGTTAGGATAATGAAGAGTTTGAGGAATGAGGGACCGCTTGAGAACGAACATGTGTAGCTTTAACGGTGGTGCCTTGCACACGACAGTGCATTGCCAGTGTTTAATACTGTAAAGTCGGATATGTAGGGAAGTGTTAGAATTGTGCGTGCGCCTCCCAAGATGTTGTTTTGACTCTTTTTAACTCTTTAAGAAACGAAGATTTCTCTTTATAATTCACAACTTTCAGTTTTGCTTAGATCTCTTCGTTATTAAATTAGCTACCTTAATTTGGACATCATCTCTTTGAACTTCCATTTGGTTCTCAAGAAACAGTGGGTCGTTCCGAAACGGTAAAATATTGCATAAAGGACTTCTGTTTTTAAAAAAATTTAGTTGCAATGATGTTAGTGGAAAAGTTAAATTGACTTTACCACCTCTTAATCATCGTTGGTCACTTAACAGAAAACTAGGTTTTTTTTTGTATATCAATCTATGACTATTTTTCTTGGCAGTTTGACGCCAATTTTTAATCCTACCACGTTTTTTCTTCATTTTTTAACTGCTCGCCACGAAAATTGAAGAAGACAGTACCTCCAGTCTGAGGAGTTTTAAAAATGTTATTACGGAAGTGTCTGACCGGAAATATAAGCAGATAAAACATTAATGGACAATGCGCTATCAAATCGTACACAAATGCGCTACAAAAATTCAGTGTACCTATACGGAAGCTGCCGGCAAAACCTTTATATAATATAGTAGCAAAGTGGCAAAAACGCTTCAGTTGCTCCAAAAAAACTGTTTTCTAAGAATTTCTAAACCAATTTAGATATAGGCTCACAAAATACTGTATGCCAATTATCACATAGAATACTGTAGACTTGACCTCAAGCTTCTATTTTTTTGAGCCCTTGAAATAAGACCCAAGATCGTGATTACCTGGCGTACCTGAAGCACCTCTTAACTTTGCTGCTTAAAAAGATAACACTTAGTTAGAAAACAAGCACTAAAGGTAGTCGTGGTGGCATCGTGATGTCAGGCATGCTATTTTAGATATCCCTTACGTTTTATTTCGCGTCAATTTCTTACTCCTCGTTTTTTTCTTTATCGATTTACTTTCCTTTTGCAACAGCTGAAATTATTGTGCTAAAGTGAAAAGAGCCTGGCCTTCAATCATCCACAGGGCTATTGCAAGACGCAAATTCTTGAAAACTACAGAGGCTAAAGTGTTTGCCAGCAGTTCCCAAGCGAATCAAAAGTACTTAGCCTAGTAAACAGGCAAAAAGAATTTTATTATTTTAAAATTTGGGAAAAACCACAATATTCCTAACTACAGTGTGCATAGTTGACTAACAAAACACATTTTACGACCAGCTGTGGAACATAGAATAATATCAATCAGTGCAAACAACTCTATACGCATCCTTATTTGAAAAGAAGTCATTCTCCTAAAAATGTTTTCAAGAATTCCATAAGACAAAACCATGGTGACATTCATAAATCTCCACAAATGTGGTACAATTAGTGACATTAAAACGACCATCTACGGCTAGAATCTTTAGCAAAGCAAGTACGAGGGAAATTCGCAGAACTAAACAAACAGATCAATAACCCAACCTTTCAGCAAAGCTTGAAGTAAGAAGCACACTGTTGTAATCAAATCAGAATACTCGACAGCAACAAAATCCCTGAGAAAAAAAACAAAGAAGAAACCAGTAAGAAAAATTAGGATAAGGAACACCAGAGAAAATATCAGTGAAAATATTGAAACACTAGTTAGAAAATAGACAGTGAATTTAGTCAGCTTCTTTATTTTCAAATCATTTAATGAAGGGTAAGCATTTGAAGCCGAATCCAGGGAACAACTGCTATGATTTTGGTATAAACTCCTGGTTTATTCGGCCGAGCGCAACCAAGTCCCCAGCTAACTAGTCCATGCAGTTCCCACTTTCCTCTTGTCTCACAAACCAAGGGGCCACCAGAATCTCCCTAAACGTGGGAACCTACTACTTTGCAGTTTGAATCTTAAAAAACAACTAATTCAAAATATTTTTACCTGACAAGCATCAACACCTCCACTTAAATAGCCAGCGCAAATCATTGAAGGTAAATGCAAATTTCCTCTATAGTGTAAGAAATCGTTACATTTAAAAGGCGGTAAAATAGGAACATGAATCTCCCTCATAATTTTTGAACGATTTCCATTCTCTGCGTTAAAGCCCCATCCTAGAAAAAATGGGAACTAAAACAGAAGAAAATCTCGAAAGGAAATAAAAAACACATCAAAAAATTTTCTTAGGGCATTATTTTTTAAACAATAATTCTAAGCATCGCTAAAGAATGCAAATTTAAAATTTGTGTTCTTCAAAAACAAGCGACATATTCATCTGTGATCTTTATGTAAAAGAATAAAACTAAGATAACCTTTACCCTCTAAACCAAAAGCTGGTACAAAAAAGTTTAATCACTTTTCGAAAAGAAACCCTCCTATGACAGCCATCGAGTCATATTTTCTATCGGTTGTCACCCCTCACTTCCAGCTCTAATAACAAATAAACAAACTGCAGTAGTAAGGCTTACTATACTTGCAGCTCAAAATAAAAAACTAAAAGAAACTAGAAAAAAACGATAATATTTATCAAAAAATTTCAGAAATTTGGTTCTAGTCTGGCAGAAAGATTTATTTAGAATCATTTTCAGCTCCGTAAGCGAGTTTATTCCCTTAACCTTTTAGTCTTGAATCCTGAGTATCCGTCATCACTTCAAACTTCATTTTATTTTCTTGCAATCTTTTTAAACTTTGCACCCACCCCCTTTTCACTTACAGTTTTAAAAAATCTTAAGAATAATAACCACCAAAAAAGCACTTCAAAACTTCCTATTAATCTTTATTTTTATTTCTGGTTTTTTTTGTTTTCCCATCACCGAAGGTGAAGGTTTTTTATCTGGCCTCCACATCTTTCGCCTTTTATTGTTACATCTAATGACAAAAATTCTTTGAAAAAGCTTTAGCAGAGAAGTGGTGACCGGTAAACGAAGAACTCTTATTACATTAAGAAAAGTGCAATTTGCTTTGTATTTCGGACACTCGCTGCCAAGTTACCTTATGTTTGAAAAGCTTCCTACATGGGAAGCTTCGGGCAACATGATTTTTCGAAAAAATTATGAAATTAGGACAACGGATGTCGTACGAAGTAAGGGTAAGAAACTTTCACCGCAATAAACTCCATTAAACAAAATCACTTTGCTCATACCAAAACGAAATCAAATTTTCCACAAGTAATAGTATAATTTTAATTAAATGGACTAATCAAACCTGTAACAACACATATTTTGTTATTAGGTACTGGAAATACCGGCAAACAAACTTTACGAATTTGACTGCTGAAATTGGCCGGTGGATCAATTCTGAAATACGAATTTATTTACAATGGCGACTAAACATCGCATAAACTAGCACAAAAGTTTTAAAAACCTTGCAACAGCAACGTCGTAAGAACTGGGTTGAACGACGCCAAAAAGCGGATGAACAGAAATATTTCTGACATGATGCAGTTCACCACTGCCTGCTTCATGACCTCCGAGAAGAATTTTGTAGTAATCCGGATTTCTACTGCAATTTAAAGTAACTGAGAGGAAGGAAATTGCTTGATTGGTTATAATCAGCAAGACGGTCAAAAGCTGCTGTAACTTAACGTTTTGGAAAAACAATGGGCTGCAGTAATAATAAAACTAGCATCAATCAGCGCTGCACCACAACGATGTACTCCATTTCGCCAAATTAACTGTGCCGTCCAGGGCCAAGAGTTCGGACGACATTCTAGTGCTCCAACCAGACGGTTACCACTTACCTTAATTACGTTTTCCGATTAAGCTTCATTTACTTTATTCTAAGCAGGTAAGTTATAGCCAACAAAAATGACCTTATTTTCCTATCATTAAAACGCTTCAAAAAAGACATTAGTGACTTACCATGTAATAATGGTTAAAATTATCTATCTGATGAGTAAGGCCTGACTTTCCGCAAATGCTGTAATCTTCCTCTGGTTGCGAAGTCGTTTCATTTTTTAGGCCAGCAAAAGTAGAAGAAGGGAAAATAAACAAAATAGTGATTTGTAGGAATGCAAGGAAGAAAACTCTTGAGAAATAAAACATTATGGCCTGGAAGTTAAATTCCAAACTTTTAACTAATAAAGAAGTTTCGAGTCTTGTTTACAGTTCACTTTTAAAGGTTCTCATTTGCGTAATTCTTCGACGACTAGACTGACGTACAAAAAATTTCTAGAGGAACACCTATGGCAAGATCAAAAAATTAACAACAACAAAGAAGCCATATAGTGATGAGCAGGAACCTAAAAGTCACAGGTCAAAAAGTCAGAACGCGAGACACTCAATTTAGACATTTAGTGTCTCGGAATGAAGCGATAACAAAAAATACCGCCCCAGAAGCAAGACGGCCTGTGGAAACTGATACAAAAAAGTTTGGTAACGTCGTAAAGATTAAGAAGAAGTCTCGATCAAAAAGATGAAGAATATAAGCTTTTATAAAATGAAATGCAGAACTGTTAAAATAAATGTCATTTTAAAAAAAACTTGATTGGCATTTTGAGTAGAGGTTAGAGCTCTTGGATTAAAGCCCTTCAATTTCTCCTGAATTTAAGTCCGTGAACAAATTAAGTGGTACATAGAATTTTGTATATTGTCTAGTAACAGATTTTGCCGCTTCTTTTAGAAGCAATTTTCAGTGTGAGCCCCTGCCTGAATGGTAAAAAATACTGTCTAGGTGTTCGCATCAACTAAGTAGTTTTCAGAAGTTCTTGGAATTGTGTAAACTTCTTTATTGGTTCAACGTTAGCGGATTATGCCTCAAACACGGTGAAATAATGATTAATTAATTGTATTAATCGTCAGGATGTGAAAATAAGTTTTGTTTGCAAAACCGGCCGCGATTAAACCTGTGCTGTTGAACGTTTTAAACTCTTTCTTACAGGTGAAAATTGGAAAAACTTTTCAAAAACTTCGTGTCAACACCAAATACTTGGTCAAAATCTAAAAAACCTATTCAAACAGTTTTTAATGTTGCGAGACACTGTCACAGTAACACTCATCTATTGTTTGGAATGTGTGAAGGAACAGTTGCTTGTTTTCCACAAAAAAGACGGAACTTTATCAAATCTCCTTTTTGGTGTGCATTTCTGTGCCACTTTAGTCGCAAATTAATTGCCTACCGTAAATACAATATCCTCCCCCAGTAGTTCACAGAACAGTTAAATTCAGTCAACATTACAGTCTTTGATGTCCTTATCAAATACCACATTTAATAAGTAAAAAATTGTAATTACTGGACAAAAGACTGTTCCGTAATACACAAATACAATCTTAATCTGAGGTCGTGTGCTATAAATGGGTTTTACGCATTTTAAGAATGCTGGATTTCTGCGATATACCATCCTTGAGATTATTTAAAAGTCATCCACTGATGATTATTTAACAAAAATTCAGTGTCTTCAGAAGCGCAAAGCTTTTTGCCTTCCTCGTTAAAAATAAAATATTAAGGAAAAAGCGAGTTATTGGTTTGTCATTTATTAAGCATAAGTCACTTAACATAATATGGAAGTAAAATCAAAATTAAAAACTTAAAATAACCATTATGGTAGTTCAAATATGGTCAAAATCAATTATAGAGAAAATATCTGCAATAAACCACTAAAAAAATTTCTAGCAATAAGCTTATATTATTGGTACTTAAAACTGAAATGATTCAAAACAATCGGAACTGAAACAAGGCAAATAAAAACAAACTTAAAATAAAAACAGACCTTATTTTTACTGTGAAGAATGTCGTCCAAAAACAGTCAAATAACATAGCCAAAAAACTACCCAATATCCTACTTGAAGTTACAAAAACTCAAGCAAAACGAGAAATCCCAAATAAAATGATTTCTTCTATAAAAAATAAATCATTTACAATCCAAGGCACAGTTTCTCAGCTAGAACTTGATTAATAGTCACGCGGTCAGGTTAAGGTACAGAATGCCTTCAACAAACAGATCGCTCTGCCGCGATTCTCCTTCATTACGAAAAAACAAGACAATTATGGAGTCCAAATGGAAAAGGTTTCATCAGTCTGAAGTTAAAACTGTTGTTTGATCAGGACAAATTCATTTATTTATCGTTTCTTACTTATCACCACGCGAGAAAAAATAACTCGAACAATTATGGAGTCCAAATGGAAAGGGTTTCATCAGTATGAAGTTAAAATTGCAATTTGATCACGAAAAATTCATTTATTTATCGTTTCTTGCTTATCACCACGTGAGAAAAAATAACTCGGAATACAGAACTGTTAATGAATAAAAATTTGTCAAGCACTAGTGTAATTTTAGCAAAGAGGAACAGCAAATGTATAAATCTATAATTTAATTTGAAGAGCTCAAGGTATACTTACCTACTGCTTTCAGCAAATTGGTTTATATGAGGCGTCATGCTTTGCTGAAGAAGATGTTATAAAGTATTTTAGCTTTTGACCTATCCTAAACTATTCTCGTTGAAATCTGAGAACAGTAATAATAGCATCACACACGATTAAGTCACGAAAACTTTGGAGAACCGAACACTTCTCCAAAATACTCCAACTGCAACACAAAGTATACGGTACAACCTTCCATTAGTCCTCAGTAAAAATGTCCGTCGACCGTCTTTCCTCCGAAGGTTTTTTT